TATTAATTTATTAATATTATATTATTAATTTTAATAATATTTTAATAATTTTAAATTTTTTGTTTTATTATTAAAAATAATATATTATACTATTTATTATTATTTATTATTAAAATTAATAATATATTATAATTTATAATAAATTATTTTAATTGAACAAAGTATTAATTGAAAAAAAAAAAAAAGGAAAAATATCGAAGAGAGATTCCAGATAAAAGACATTGAAGAATCAAAGCGTAGATCAGACAAGCTCGAGCATAACGATTGTTCGAACCAAAAAAGATCCGACGTTTCGAAACACAGTAATCAAAAGTACAACTGATCTGACTTGATAATCTGAAATCTAGAAGGACAATCTGAAATCGAAATCCAAGTCCTTGTCGATCGATAACACTGGTTTTTATCAGCCTGATCGACGTGGTGCCAAGGTGGAATCTTCAATCGCGATCGATATTTAACCACAAACCGGAGGAACCAGGTTTTATAAATAGAAAAGTATATCGAACCGTTTATTTGCAGACGTCGCACAGATTATTTCGATCGCTGACATAAATAAATATCGTCGGCCAAATTCTCCAGATGGAGGAGGCAAGCCGTCCGCTTCTTCAGATCGTCGAGTTGCATTATGAAATCTTCGTTTCGAACCATTTTGAAAATGGTTCGTTGCGACTGAGAGAGAATTCATAGTGTCTACGTGGAGTATCAGCTTTACTGATATTTCCAGTATTCGTACTCAAACACAATTGAATTTCTCTTGCGAGAATCCAGCACATCTTGCACATCTAGTTTTAGATCAAGATGGAAAATAATTAATTACGTCAGCTGCTTTTTTGTCGTCTCTGGTTCGAAGTTAGATTTCAAAGTGCGTGATTCATTCCGAGAGTTATTCGCTTCAACGATACTATTTTATTTGTATTGCGGGGGACACACCCCCCGCGCGTTATTTCAGTATTTTTCTCGACATCATCGACGAAAAAATACATTGTGTAATGGAAATGAGGTCGTGTTGCAATGTCTCGCGTGTGTGTGTGTGTGTGTGTGTGTGTGTGTCTGACAGAAGGAATCGATTGATCTAATCCCAGAACCAGGATTAAAGGCTATTTAAACCAATCAAGATACGGAAATTAAGAGATGGCCAATTAAGACTAATTTTCGAAACATCTTTCGCCTACGTATCGAGAGACTTACGCACTCGACTGGAACGTTCGAGTGTGTTAAATTTTATAATACTCGAGACTACGAGAAACATGTATGTAAATAGAAAAGTTAGATCAACGGTATAATTACGGTATATTGAGAGCAAATATTTTTAGCTCAAAGATTGGAGTGAACAGTTCGTCATTATCTAATGATCAAATTGCAAATATCTAGAATTGCCTTCGTTTTTTTTTTTCTTTTATGATACATTCCATTACATATTTTAATTATTTAACAGTAGTGTAGGAATATAGAAATCAAGTTCAAACAAATTATACTACCATAAATCACGAAAATATATGTCGGAGAATAGTGATTGCATAAAATGTCTGTTGAGAACAGACAAATTAAATTTCTTTCTTAATATTTTCGTCGAAGATGTTGGTCATTCAAAGACCTTTACTTATTCATAGTGTAACCGTGAATGCTAGTTTCGATTGTTATAAAGAGAAAAACAAGAATCATTTGCTTGCTAATATGATAATAAACTTAGTATAATCATAAAGCAGTAAACAAGTACGACTGCGGATTTTTATACAAACTCACATGAGTTTATTTTAAAGAATGCAAGAACGCAAGGATACGTAAAGTAGAATGTTTGTTGAAACATTCCTCTTTTATACAATTTGTAACAACACTCGTTATCATCTATATTTTTACGAAAATGTAATTTTCGAAATTTTTGAGAATACTTCTCATTCTACAGTGTCTACATTTACATTGCTTGATATCTTTCGTAGGCGATGGCTTCTTTAAACAGTTCAGTCGTGTCTGAACTATTTAAACCGTGGCTTTTGTCAACATTAAACACAAATACGAATAATCGAGGCGTGCACCAATCGAGAATCTCGGCTTAAACCATCAATCTTGCGCTGGCAACTGGTTTCGCGGACCATAACGAGAGACCGAACCGCGTATACAATACATTCGTCGCTTCCCGTTTCTTCTGAACTCGTCGATACGATATCGCTGGATAGAAATTAATTAAGAAGTAACGGACCGATCATTTGTTTTGCCCGGGTTTTACGTTTAAGTATGCTTCAAACTGAGGAAATGTTGCGCGTCATTCCAGCGCAACTGGTTAAATGTTAAATCATCTTCAAGTTCCAAACTTTAGTGAGAGCATTGCCAAATAATCTCGAAAGTATACCTTCGCATTTACATTTTTCATTGCATCTTGTAACTTGATGATCTTTTGTGAACAAAATTTATAAAAGTATATCTTATCAATTGGAAGGAAAAAAAAAAAAATAATCTAAAAGTATTCTACTACGGAAGAAAAAAAAGAAAAAATACGTTTCTCTTCACTAATTGATCAATCATTAATCGACGTTCGCAGAAGTTGGAAAGAAGATCCACACGGAAGAAGAAAGAAAGAGTCGAGAAGAAATCGCCAAGTGGTTTGGCAATCTCGATCCAGCACCGATTCTCACTATCGGGACAGGACAGGGGACAGAATGGTGATGCCGAATGGCCCTGCCCTACCCTATCCTGACCCAATAATGCAAATCGGGAACGGCCATCTTGCACAACTCGCGGCTGGCGAGGAATTCGTCGATTTCCGCTTGGACTGATGAAAATTCTCTTGCTGCCTGTACCTCGAGTAAGTCCGATTCTCACTATCGGGACAGGACAGGGGACAAAATATACCCGCCAAAACGGCCCTGCCCTGCCCTATCCTGACCCAATAATGCGAACCGGGCATGATCCCTGTTGAACGAATCAAACGGAGACATCCGATCGATTGTGACGTGCGAAAACGTTCCAAACTTTTACGTATAATTTGCACGAGGCGTATAACAATTCGTATTGGTCGAGTTTTTCTTTGGTTTTTTTTTTTTTTTCCAAACGCTCTCGCATAATGGGATTCTGTTTGTCTGAAAGTTGTGTTGGAAAGCGGAGCGATTTGTATAGAGAGTGTTTCGTAACTTGTGGCAACTGATTGTACGTCTAAAAATAATGGAAAAAAGGTCATATATAAATATATATGCCCCATCTGTTGTCTTCGTTTATGAGATATAACGAATTTTATAAACAGAGCAAACTCTGGTAAGCTAGTTTTACCAGGGATGGTATATTCAATTTTCATAATAATCATAATTGGGATGAAGAAAACCCACGTGTTATTGTG